AAACAGGAAGCTAGGGAGGGTATAAAAAAAGCTACTGGCCATGTGCTCAGCCTCTTTCTTCTCTGCTCTTTCCTGAAGAGCCAACTCTCTGCTTCTGCAATAAACTATAACCATCTTCCCAAAGCAGTCGCCATGTTGCTTATTTAATAATAATGATAATATTCCCGGCTTGGATGAACCAGGATGAAGACTTACTTCTAACAGTCTATTCCCAACATTGCTTATTGAGAATGATGCTTTCTCCACCATGACGCAGAGAAAAGGACGGGGAAATACTCATGCTTGTGTATGTGTGCATGCACACACATACATGCACACACTTCTAACAGAGGAGAAACTGTTAATTGTCTTTCTATGGTTCTTCTCTCCTTTTAAGCTGTTCATTTCCTCTGGCAGTTGAGCACGGCAATAAAAAGGAGCTGTTATAAGGAGAAGCAAGCATTCTGCCTTCTTATAGCAGTTCATTTTTACTAGCTGCTTCCTCTTCCTTTACTTCATGGCATAATCCCAAAGTGGCAAACATGTTACGTGGCCCAGATTTTACCTAAACATTTTTTTCAAATCTGTGCTGTTATGTTTCCCAGTTATCTTTTGGGAAACCCATGACATTGGCCTTAAACTTGTTTATATTTAGAATGGATGTGTTTTAGCTCATTTCCCAGGTTTTAAAAAACCATAGTCCTCTCCATTCTAAGCAAAAAAAAGAGGGAGAAATTACCTACAAGGATTATTTCAGTGATACATTGAGACTTTAAGTCTAGTTTTATCTTTGCATTCAAGCAGTGCTGGTCAAATCCAGAATTTCTAGTACCACTACAAAACAGTCATTTGATTTTAATTTATTTTGAGAACTATGAGAGATTCCCCTTCCTCCCTGCTACATTATGAACTGATTATTAGGTGCTTCCGCATATCTGCATATGTACGTGTATGAATAAATTAATCAGAATATATGAATATGTGCATGTAAAGAGTAGGAAGGAAATTCCATTGGGTGCTTATCTAGTTTAATTCAAGGCCTCTATAGTTGGTACATCTTTTGTTAGTTTATTTAATCTTAGCTCATTATGTGCTTATCTATATGCTACAAACTTTAAAAATTAATTTTAACAGTTAATCCTGTTTCCCTAGACAACTAATCCTTGGTAACCTAATCATGATGTAATTCTTAGGATTGGTTGAAAGATAGTTAAAATAGCAGTTGGAATACAAACTTTTTTTGTCAGCATAGCCCAATTCAAAGCACTACAGAACAGATTAAATGTCAATAAGTTGAGTGAAGATTGACATGCCACTATTTTGATTCTTTTTGATCTGGGCAAGAATCAAGACTCCGGAGATTTGGGGATAAATGAATTTAGAGAACCACGAGAGAAAAAACTTACAAGTTCTGGAAGTTATACCAGAAATCTCCATTCTGATTACTTCTCAGTTCTTTCTTACTATCCAATAATAAATAGATAATTAAAGTATTTCTTAAAAAGAGGACAGAGAATTTAAATAGGACTGAAATACAAAAGTCACAATGGGGAATTTTATGTCACTTGTCAAATTCTGTGTTCAGAGGCCCTCATTCTTTTAAGGCATGGTGGGCCAATTGGATTCCTGGCCACCAGTACTTGTAAGTTCAGATTAAGGACAACAATTTGAAGTCCTTGCTCAACATCCAATGGTTGCTGATCACCAAAAGCACCCCTCACCCTGGTAAGAACCTGCAATTATTAACTGCAACACACCATCACCTGCCCTAAGCTAAGCATCTTAGCGCCCTACAACCACCACCTCCCTAGCTAGCTCCTATCCTTGGTTTTACCACCGGACCCAGCTATTCCCAGAGCAACGATAGACAGATAGATAGAGAAAAATAGAAAAAATAGATTTTTAGAAAAAGAAGAAAGAGAAGAGGGGAAAAAAGCAATGTAGAATTGACCTAAGCATTTCATAAACGACACAATTTTCAATCTCAGAAAACCTCCTAAATTTATCCAATCTGATCACCATCCTCTAAAGCAGGGGTCTCCAATCTTGGCAACTTTAAGACTGGTGGACTTTAACTCCCAGAATTCCTCAGCCAGCAAAGCAAAGCTGGCTGAGGAATTCTGGGAATTGAAGTCCACCAGTCTTAAAGTTGCCAAGATTGGAGACCCCTGCTCTAAAGGGCCCATGACAAATCCTTGCACACCTAACCCTAACTCCTAAGATGTTATAATAATAATAATAAAGTTGGAAGGGACCTTGGAGGTCATCGAGTCCAACCCCCTGCTCAGGCAGGAAACCCTATACCATTTCAGACAAATGGCTGTCCAGTCTCTTCTTAAAAACTTCCAGTGTTGGAGCATTCACCATTTCTGGAGGCAGGTTGTTCCATTGGTTACCGGTAATTGTTCTAACTGTCAGGAAGTTTCTCCTTAGTTCTAAGTTGCTTCTCTCCTTGATCAGTTTCCATCCGTTGCTTCTCGTCCTGCCTTCAGGCGCCTTGGAGAATAGCTTGACTCCCTCTTCTTTGTGGCAGCCCCTGAGATATTGGAACACTGCTATCATGTCCCCCCTCGTCCTTCTCTTCTTTAACTAGACATACCCAATTCCAGCAACCGTTCCTTATATGTTTTAGCCTCCAGTACCCTAATCATCTTTGTTGCTCTTCTCTGTACTCTTTCTAGAGTCTCAGCATCTTTTTTACATCGTGGTGACCAAAACTGGATGCAGTATTCCAAGTGTGGCCTTACCAAGGCATTGTAAAGTGGTATTAATACTTCACGTGATCTTGATTCTATCCCTCTGTTAATGCAGCCCAGCACTGTGTTGGCTTTTTTGGCAGC